AGAAGGCCCTTTCTTTGTGAGAAAAGACCAGGGAGGCACGGGGCGGGGGGGGGGGGCTCCAGCGGTGGGATAGTGTGTGGGGAGTGGGTGCACAATCTGGGAAGGTGCTGGGGCACTTGATAGTCCTTCTCACAAAGCTGGGTTACAGAGGAACATTCCTCTGCAACAGCCACCCCCCCCCCGCCAGGAAGAACCCGCTGCTCCCTGCAGATCCAGCCATCGGAGAAGCTGCCCCTGCCCCTGCCCCTGCCCCTGCCCCTGGCCTTTGCGGGGCGCGGGATGTTCAGGAGGCCTCTGTGGCTCACCAGGCTCTTGCTGTGCAGCATAATGAATGTTCACCAAGGGCAGCTCGTGTGCCGGGGGGAGGGGGCTGGTTGAGCTCTGGAACAAACATCAGGGGCAGGCATCTGTGGGGCAAAGAGGAGGTTGGTGAGCTGGGAACCCACTGGTAGGAAGCATCCCAAAGGGGAGCCCTATGGCTAAGGTGGTGGGATAAAAATCCAATAAATAAAAAAGTAGCTAAACAAACACAAGTCCCACACCCCACTTCCTGTCGGCTGGCGCCGCGATCAAGCACGGCGATCACAGCGCGCTCGGCTTTGTGTCTTGCTGATTTTCACTGAGAGCAGGAGCTTGGCCTGACTGAAGCGTCCAGAAATGCCACCCTGGCGTTCTCAGCCCCGCTTCTTGCCAGGGCCTTGAGCACTCTGGAAGCCAGGGCAGTGTGGACCGTGAGGGCCCCTCCTTCCTCAGGGCCACCGCCTGCCCCCTTCCTGAGGGCAACGGCCCACAGGAGCTCCCCTTCCATGTCTCTGCTCCAGCGTTGCCGGAATCCACACCCGTCCTTTGGCGTCATGCTTTGCAGGGCCCAGGTTCCCGTGTCTCTAAAGCAGGCAAATTACAGCAGGTGACATCAGTCCCATGAGAAAGATGGGAGCTGGTGTGGTGCAGCCCTCGCAGTCTTGGGCAGGACCGGGAGGGCCTGCTCCCGGTCGCTGGCAGCCTCAGAGCCCGAGGAGCCCCTGTCCTCCACCCAGGCCTCCTCACGGGGTTGCTCTGGGGATGAAATGGAGAGGAGGAAGAGGGCCGCGGGAGCAACCTTGGATTCCTTGCAGGAAGAGAACAAAGTATTTCATGTAATAAAGAAGTTAATGATAAACACATCAAACCAAGGGCAACAAGAAGTATCCAAAGAGCCAGAACATGCTGTTATAAAAACTGAAGCAGAAATGTTCATATAATGAAAGGTGAGAGTGCCTCTGAGCATGTTGCAAGCCCAGGGCTTGGTTTTCGGTACTGGGGAGCTTCTGCAGAATGGGCTCGGATCCAAATCCAAAGGCTTTTCCTTCTCCGGGGATTATCGGCCACTGGGAAAAAGACCAAAGTGGTGGAGAAATGTGGCAAGTGCACTGAGGCAGGAGACTTTCTCTGCAAGTGCCTCTGTGGGGCCCCTGGGGGCCACGCGGGGGGCAGGCAGCCTCCCTGCCAGCCTCTGGGACGCGCCCAGCCAGCACGGTGTGCCCAGGCATTTGGATCCCTGCGAGCCCGCGGCGCCTTCCGGTCCGCAAGGGAGCTGGCCTGCCTGCATGGAGCCCTGGCTGGAGGGAGGCCCGCGAGGAGGGGCGGCCGTGCAGGGCTTCCTCTCCTTCCCTCGAAACAGCCTGTCCAGCTCCCATCGTTCCGCCCCGTCCCCCATTGCCCTGCGAGTGGCTGCGGCCCCCCAGCACGGAGGCGCGCGCAGGGACTGACTGGAGGCTTCAGCATGCACCACCCTAGCGTGCCACACAGCCACGGCCTCTCCCCGGCTCCATCTTGGTCCGATGGCCGGCCACTGCGGAGGGTCTTTGCCCTGGAAGTGGTTTGCCCCTGCCCGGCACAGGGGGCAGATGCCGAGCCCTCAAAGCACACCGTGGCCCTTCACCCCCCCCCCGAAGCTGCTCTCCTGGCCGGGCGAGTGTGCATGCCGTGCGCACGCGCATGGATGGGCCAGGAGAGGGCTGTTCTGGGACAAAGCTCCTGGCGCAGCCCTCCGAGCCTCCGCCGAGGGGCCTCCCCTGTGCCCGGCCGGGCGCTCAGCGTCCTTCCCTTGCTCCAGGGAAGCCAGAGGAGCCGCCCTCCCTTGCTGGCCACCCACCCCTCCTGCTCAGCCGGGCAGAGTTTCCTGCCACTGCAACACTTCCATGATGCGGGGGGAGCGCTAGGAAAAGGCACCCTAGATCCTCAATCTTTTATAGCCCTTAAAGGGTTTAATTCTGATCTGGACTAAGCCTCTGAACCAAGCAATGATTTGCGGTTGGATTTGGCAAAGCTGCCATGAACGATCAGCAAGCCTGCAGCCCTCGGGGCCAGCCCTCCCCCTGGGGAGGCGCCCTCATCTGCCGCTCCTGGATGCCGGACCCACACAGCCAAGAGCCCGACAGACACCGCCCTGGGGCCACACGGTAAGCATCCTCGGTATGCCATGGCGCCCCAGCTTCTTGTCTGCCCCCCTGCCACCCCTGCCTTGCCCCACCTCCACGGCACCGTTTCCTGGGCTGAAGGCTGGTGGGGCAGTTGACCAGCTGCGCCTGACCCAGCCGAGTGCTGCCTTGCACGGGGCTTTCAGACACGCCAGATGGAGTTCTCCCTCCTGCTTCTGCTTCTCTGCCTGGGGGTCACCTCCTGCCCCCGGCAGGAATTGAGCCGCGTGGCAACACCGACCCAAGGCGTGCCACCGGCCCTCCTTGACCGCAGTTGGAAGGCAGCAGGGGATGGAGGAGGAGGGGACCCCTGGCTTTTGGCCAGCACAGCCCGGTGGAGCCTCCATGCTCAGAGGCGGCAGCTCTGAACACCAGTCGAGGAGGAGGAGGAGGTGTTGCCAAGGAGGGCAGGGGCCCGGCCTGGCTCCTTTCTGCGCCTCCCAGCCTTGCTCTGCCCAGGCAGTGGCGGCGCTGTGGAGGGGGGCCTCTGGGCTCTCTGCCCGTCAGGCAGTGGGCTGGAGGAAGCACAGCCAGCTGCTGTGAGGGAGGCGGCTGGCTCAGAGGAGGGTCCGCAGAGGTTCCTGCTGCACCTTGGCATCTCAGAGCCCTGGACCACACTGCTTTCAGCAGAACACAGCTTCTGCCCCAGCTGGGGGAAGCAAGCTGCTCCCGCCCTTCATCTCCTGCGCCCGGCAGCGCGGGCTGGCCTGAGCAGGGACGGCTTGGCAGGGCAGGCGCTCTGGAGCGCCCGGCCTGGGCCCGGGAGCAGGGCACACGCCCCCTTTGGCCAGTCACCGTTCCTGGCACCCGCATCCTCGGCAGGGCCTCTTCTCCAGGAGCCACGTGAACGAGGGCAGCTGGTGGCCAGCAAAAGGGCCTCTCCGCTGCAGCAGCACACCAAAGACCGTCCCTTCCCCAGGCCTTCCCCACGGCTGGGTTCAGAGGCCAGGTGCCCTGCCTCGCGGAGGAGAGAGCTGGCAGGAGGCAGGCCTCTCTCGGAGGAGCAGTCCAGTCACGGGCTGTTTCAGCGCGCAGAGCGCACAGCCGGGAAGGCGGGCAGGGCTCGGGAGCCATCCCGCTCTCAGCAGGAGCCCGCACAGCTGCCCAGGCGCATGGCTGCCCAGGAGGGTGCGATGCAAGCGGTTTCTAGCTGAAGTGCAGCAATTATTTCGGAACTGGTACCTAGACATATTCACGGGCACATGCACATTGCCAGCCTGTCGCGGGCATCACCGTGTTTGGCAATATCTCAGTGGCTACTGAGATTTCTCTTGTAATGTTTTTCTACTATTATCATTCAGATTTCATCTTTCCCAAGGGATCAAAACACATTAATGAAATCTCAGCATAAAAATACTCAAAAGGAAAATTGCTCAGAATGTTGAGAAACACGGTGAGTCAGAAGCGGTCTCCCAGGCCTCCCAGTCGGACCGCTGGCTCCAGCTGGCTCCGCTCCTGTAATCCCCAACAGGTGGCTGCCCAGTCTTTCCTTGCGCACCCTCACTGATGCCCCCCATGGAAGCCCAGGGTTCAGGGTGCCCCCGCTGCATGGCCAGCAGAACTCCCAGGTCCTGTCCCTGGTGGGAGCCTCTGGCTGCAGGAGCCAGAGGTCGCCTCGGCCTCGGCCTGCACCGCATGGCCCAGACTGGAGGCTCTGGTCCAAAGCTGCATGTGCAGCTCAAGAGAACCTCCACCTGGCCCCAGGAAGATGGCCTGGAGCATCTCAAGAGCAGCTCAGAGATGGCACTTTTGCTCAGAATGCAGCACGGGGGGCAGCCCCCCACTCCTCACCTGACCTGCATTCGCATTCCCGTGTCACATCTAGCTTGGTCTACCCCAGGTCAAGATCTGACGCTAGCGCATCCCGCTGGAATCATGGAGACCAGCCCCGCTGGGAGTGCTGGAACCCGGGACATGGCCCGAGCCCAAGTCGAGCCCCAGGCACATCAAGCCCAGCAATGCTTACCCTCCACCCCTGCCGGAATCTTCCCCAGGGAGGGCCACTGCCAGCCTCCCTGGGAGCAAAGCAAGGCCCTTCCTCGTGCAAGGCCTCTTGCCCAGGGCCCTTCCCCACCCTCTAAGGGGGGCTCATGGGACGGAGCCGCTGGCCGGGCCATGAGGCCAGCATGGCAGTCAGACCTGTGTCCATCACAGGCCTTCTCAGCTCAGCCCTCTCCCTCCCCAGCAGGAGCCAAGGGGCCAGGGCTGAGAACAAGCCAGGGAGGGCTGCGCTCGTGAGCCACCCCCCCCCCCCCAGCCCTGGGCAGCCCCTTGCCCCTCCTTGGTCCAAGACGGCTTCTTTCCCCCCCTTCCCCTTTTTTTGACTTGGGGGGGTTTTATAAATTTTGGCGGGGCGCTTTAGAAAAAAAGGGGGGGGGGGGGGGGTAAAGGGCACTTGGCAGTTATTGGAAATCATCTGTCAATAATTAATCTAGGAGGCTTCCTCCCTCCCACTCGGTCAGTCAAATAACCTCTTCTCCCCCTCATGCCAGCCTACATAAGGACCAGCCGCAAGGGCCCGAGACAGCCAAGGACGCAGGAGGAGAGCGAGACGCTCCTTGTGAGAGAGACAGGTGTCCCGGCTAGGAGGGGGGCCACTGGCCAGGGCGCAGGTGGGAGAGAGCCCCCAGGGAGGAACATGGCCTCGCTCGGCCTGCAGCTCGTCGGCTACCTGCTGGGCTTGCTGGGCTTGCTGGGGACGCTGGTGGCTACGCTGCTGCCCAGGTGGAGGACCAGCTCCTACGTCGGCTCCAGCATCATCACGGCAGTCGGCTTCTCCAAGGGCCTCTGGATGGAGTGTGCCTCCTACAGCACCGGCATCACCCAGTGCGACATTTACAGCTCCCTGCTCAACCTGCCAGCTGACCTGCAAGCCGCCCAAGGGCTGATGTCCGCCTCTGTCGCCGTCTCCCTGCTGGCCGCCGCCGTCTCCGTGGTGGGTATGCGGTGCACCGTCTTCTCGCAGGGCTCCGCCGCCAAGGACAGGCTGGCCGTGCTGGGAGGGGCGGCCTTTGTCCTGGGCGGGCTGCTGTGCTTTGTCCCCGTGGCCTGGAACATCCACGTGGTGCTCCGGGACTTCTACAACCCCGTTGTCCTGGACAGCATGAAGTTTGAACTTGGGGAGGCCTTGTACCTGGGCCTTCTCTCCGCCCTGCTCTCCCTCACCGGGGGCTGCATCCTCTGCACCTCCTGCCCACCCCGGGACCCCCAGGCGGCCTACTACAGCCCTTATCAGGCCCGAGCTGTGGGGAGAAAGGGGGCCCCATCAGCAGCGGCGGCACCTGCCGCCTCTCTGAAGGCCAAGAGTGAGTTCAGCGCCTACAACCTGACCGGCTACGTGTGAGCCCTGCTGGGCTGCCAGAGCGGGCAAGGGAGGTCTGGCTCGCCGGCTACGTGCAGCAGGCAGGCAGGCAGCAGCGCCGTTCCCCAGCCACGCACTCCTGGATCCTTTCCTCGGCCAGCTCCTCAAGCCCCCGTTTCTCCCCCACCTCCAGATAATGCCTCCCGGGCACCACTTGCCGGGCATCTGCCTGGCAACAGCTTCTTCCTGGACCGCTGAGCCACATCCCTCTGACAAATGTGTCCCCCCTCTGGAAGGATGCGCCAAGGCACTTGCCGCCACCTCGTCGTGTGGGTCTGTGGGGGGGGGGCGTGTTTCCTGCCACAACACACAAGACACTGAACACTGAACTTGATGGAGGCCAGCAGGATGCTGCGAAGAGCTGAGCCGAGCCGAGCAGAGCTGGCAGGGCAGAGCTGTGCCTATATGGGGACCCAGTCAAAAAGTGCCAGTCACTGCCAGACTGATCGGGCAACAGAAAACCAGCACCGGGGGGGGGGGGAGGCAGGACCGGGCAGGGCAGGACCTCCTTAACAGTCCCTCGCAGCGCCTGGCAGATGATGCCCAGTCAGGCACCCTCCAGCTGCTGCCAGCCTGTTGGGCCGCGTCCTCCCGGCTTCTCCCAGGGAGAGGAGCCCAGGCAGATGCCCGCCCACCCACCTGGTGCCCAGCAGGCTCCTGGCTTTGAAGAGCAGCACTCGGGGGAGCCAGGCGTGGGCATGCGCTGGCCCTGGCGGATGGAAGCACTCCAAAGAGGGCGCCTGGTGGGGACAGGCAGCCCAGGTGCTCTGCGGAGGTACAAAGAGGCCGCCTCAGGCAAGCGTGCTTGCCGTGGGCTTCAAAGGGGCCCCGAGGGCTGTTGGCCTGGCAGCGCCAGCCTGGAGGGGCGGACAAACCGGAGGGGGCCAAATCTGGGAACTCCGCGGCCTTGCTCAGTGGTGTGAGCCGAGCACAGAACTGGACGCGCTGCCTGCGCCGGCAGGACAGGAGCAGAGCTGCCACAACAGGCGCTTGGAGGCCTGGGGGCGGAAATGCCAGGATGAGGCCAGGCAGTCGGCCGGGTGGGGGACCTGTTCTGCGACCACGACATTTCCTGCCCCCAGTCAAGCAGCCAGCTCTTCACATGGGAGGGTGCAGTGGCATGAAGTCCTGGAGTGGCCACACGTTTCCCCTGAAAGAGGACAGTCCTTTATTTGGAGGGCTGTCCAGTCCCAGTTGGCTTTCAAAATAAATAACCTTTGGGAAGAGGAGCAGGGTGGGTTCTGTCTGTGGCTGCCCCCTGGCCATGGCTCCTGGGCATGCTGGTCACAGGATCACAGGGCTCTGTGCTGCGAGGGATGAACCGTGTTCCCATTTAGATGATAATTCCTAAAATTGCATCAATAGTTATAAAGCAGCCTCTGCACATTAACTGCCAGCCAGTGTCCTCTCTTTCGCATGCTCTGTCAGTGGCCACTTGAACCTTACCTGAAAGTCCTGTTGCCTCTTGTGTATTTACCCCCCACAGGAAATGATTTTGAGTGAACTTCAGCTGGGGCAGGGCAGGCTGAGAGTACAAGCTTTCTAAGGTTTCTCAGCTGTGGAGGAGAGCGGCTTAGCTAGTTGGCAGCTGAGAGGGAGAGGAGAGGGAGAGCAGCTTGGCGCAGGGAAAACGGCCGTTTGAATGGAACTCCTTGGTGCTTAATCTGGGAGTTCACCTCCCCAAAAGAAGGGAGGAGGAGGAAGCTGAGCCGACTGCTTAGGCCTCTGCAGGAGTCCCTCCTTGCAGATCTGCCCAGACAAGGAACTAGATGGCTTTCTGAGCGCTGGGGCTGAACTGGGATTCCCTAAGAAAGCAAACTGGGGCAAGGCACAAAACGGGTAGGGGAAACTACCCTCCCGGGCCTCAGCCTCGCAAGCCAGTTCTACGCTCAGCCATCCAGAGGCTGGGTTGGCGGTCAGCACTGGAGACCCCCGTGCCACCCAGGCGGTCCCGCTTTTCCTTCTGGTTCGCCTGGCTTGGCTCGAGTACCTCGGCGGGCACTCTCACCATCCATCCATCTCCAGCAGGTGCCGCGGCCATGCGAGGCCTTCGCCAGCAACCACGGCACAGGGGCACACGGCATCTTAAATGCCAGACCAATGTATTGTGGCAGAACCTTTCGTGGGCTACAGTCCACACCACCAGCCTCGTAAAGTAGCACCCAGAGCTGCAGGGCCAGGGGAGACCTGGCTCCAGACCCCGCCGCCAATCGCTGACCTCAGCCCGACCTACTTGGCAGGGTTCTTTTGCAGACACGACAAAGAAAGCACGGCAAGCGGCCTTGGGTTCCTTGCAACCGGGAAGAACGGGTGTGGCGGACACGCTGCTGGCAGTGGGGTCAGGGGAGTGGAGGAAAGGCAGGAAGCAAGACGGCACAAATGACGGCCCGGTGCCCGAGTCCAGCTGCGGCACAGCAGGGACGGCACTGAAACGCTGCCGTTTGCTAAGCTGTTAACAGACCAGGCTGAGACGAAGACACGTCAAGAGTGTTGACAATTAAAACATGCTTGGGATTTGGATGATCCATCTGAATTCGTCAGACTGATGCACAGAGGCATTGGTGATGGTGATGGTGATGTCCATCTTTCCAAAGAGGGATTATCAAGTGAAAGAAGAATCGGAGATGAAGCCAATCCAAGTCAAAACATTACTAGAGTGCACCTGGTGCCCGGGAGATGCTTCACCCATGGAGTCTGGTGTGATTTAAGTAGCCCCAGTCCTGCCTCGCCCATGGATGGGGTCGGGGAAAGGCATGGCACACATCTGCTGGCAGAACAAATCGAGCCCAGCTGAGCGAAGGGGAGGCCCGGTGCCGGAAGGGAGGCTGTGGTCAGGGAAGGGCACGGCTTGTGGCCCCAGAGGCAGAGGGCTGGGGGGGGGGCGCCCAGGGAGGGAGGGGCAGCTGCAGGAGCAGTGAAATTGACCTCCACCGGCCGCAGAGGTCAGGCACCTTGCCCGGGGCCACCGCCCGGAGCCCCAGGGCTATGTGGGGCAGCCAGCCAGCGGCCATGGCCACCGATTCCTCTGACTGTGAGCAAGAGCAGCTCCCGCTGCGGAGCCCCCGCCCAGCCCCCCTGAACACCGCCTGGGCGATGCAGGCCCCACGCGCTGTGGGAGGCAGCCCTGGCAGCCCTCTGGGGCACAGGCAGGCAGGGGCCAGCAGCAATCTGAGGCACAGCTGCCAGGCGTGCGAGGCCTGGGGAAGGAGGAGCGGCCCACGGCAATGCAGCGGGCCCCACGCCCCAGGAGCAGCAGTGGCTCCCAACCAGAGCCAGCGATCCTGGGTGGAAGCTCAGGGGCACGGGCAGCCGCAGGGGCCACGGGTCAGGCCAGGCGCATCACACCAGCGGCAGGTGCCCGGCCCGAAGGGCAGTGCCGTCCTAACGGTGGCCTTGGCAAGTGTGGCGCGTCAGGGCCGGAAGGCGGCGCAGCCCAACCTGGGCTTCAGCCAAGGGCCCACCAGAGTGTTGGCCAGAGCTGGGCCGGCCCTGCCCGATGTGGCACTGAGAGGGGGCAAAGCTTGGGAGCTGGCAAAGTGCCCCCCGGTGGCGAGCTCTGTGTGCTGCATGGCATGTGCGCAGGGAGGGCCTGGGCCGTGCAGCCTTGGTGCCACGGGAGCGTCCCAGGGAGGGCCTCTGCCCCAGGATGGCTTGTGCCGGGCGCACCCCCCATTCATGCCGGGGGGGCTGGCAGGGCAGGGCGACAAAGCCAGCTTGCCGCTTGGCACAGTGCCGTCCGTTTGCCCGTCGGATGCCTGCGTGACGTGGGGCTCACAGAGCACCCCAATGAGCGGAACCTCCCTGACAACGCCAGCAGCAGGCAGGGCTGCTGGAGAACGGGGGAAGCCACGGTGCGGCACCGTGCGGAGCCCCTTCCAGACATGCACCGCTCACGCGGGCCTGGCTGCAGCCCTTGATGGCTCTGGGGCAGCAGGAGAGCGGGCGCTGCCAGCATCTGGGGCGACGTCGCTGCCGCAAGGGGGCAGGAAGGGACAACCGGCAAGCAAGCTGCTTCCCCAGGAAAAGCAGCCCTGGCAACCTGAGGGCAGACCTGCTCCTGCCCACTTTGCGCAAAGGGCCGGGCTGGGCCGGGCCGGGCCAGCGGCGGGGGGGGGGGGGAGGAACCACTCTCAGCTCCCCTGGCCCTCCGCTGCCCTCCCCCGCGGGTTCAGTGGGGGACAGCAAAGCCATCAGCGGGAACTGTAATTAAAGCAGGCGGGCGGGCAATCCCTTAATCAGCACACGCGCTGCTCCCTCTCAGAGGCTAAGCGAAAGTTTGCCGGCTGAAGTTAAAAAAGGAAAGTGGAGGAAGGCAGGCCTGGCCAGCTCTGCTTAATCAGATTGGTGGCCCAGCTCCTCTCGCTGCCTCCCCACCGCCGGAAGCCGCTGCTGCAGGAGCAGCGACAGCCCAAGCAGGGCGCAGTCCAGCACCACCAGTCGGACCCGCTGGGGGTTGCAAGGCTCCGGCAGGCAGCACTCATCCTCGGGGCCGGGCCATCCCTGCCCCAGACCCTTTGGGGAGACCCACGGCCCCACTTGGCAGGCAGAGATCTTCAGCAAGGAAGCGGTGCCTGGTCTGAGGCCGAGAGGGGAGGCTGCTCCTCCAGCAAGCAGCAGGCGGCACTTCCTTCGGGGGGACGAACGGGATCCCGGCCCCTCGGCCTGTCCCGGTAGCGACTCTGGCCGTGCCGCCACAGGGGGCCTGGCTGACACTGGCTACTAAGGCCACCAGTGGCTCCAAACAGCCTCCACCTGCCCCCAGGAGCGAGCGGGCCGCTCCCCTCTCCCCAGAGGCAGCTGGAGAACTGCGCCCTAGCAGGCCACCACAGCCCGAGGACGCGGGTTGGCCACTTTGCTAGTGGCCAGCTGCTTCCCATGGCGCATCTCGGGGCCCCTAGGGTGGCGCCGAAGCTCCACACGCCCCTGCCTGGCATCCCCCGTGGCAACCCCGGGTAGCTTGCAAAGGCCTGCCTGAGAGGGGCCGTCGGAAGGGGCTCGGTGGCCCATGAAGAACGCAGCTGTAGCTTTGGCAGTGGCAAAACAACTCATGAGAAGCCCCTCAAACTGCTCCAAGCCACCTAGAGGGGAACATTTTATTCTCGCCACGCAGAACCAGCCCCATTGCAAAGGAAGGTTTCAGCTGTGGCCACGCCAGGAACCCAGCAAACCACCCTTCCCATATCACGCTGTGCAAGCCCTGGTGCAGGGGCCCCAAGCCTCTGCCCAGTTTCACCCTGAACCAGCAGGAGAGTTTATCTGCCCAAACCCTTGAGCCTCACCTAGGAAGAGGCAAAATGAAAAATCTGTGGAGTGAAAAAGCGCAGAAAAGCACCCTCCCAGCCAGTTTCCCTGTTTGGTTCCCTCCTATGCAGTGAAGGTGTCCTGAAAGCAGCCTCAGTCCAGTCCATGTTGACATTTCCCGCATATTCCACTCAAAACGGACCCCCTGAGCTAGAGCCCTGTGCCCCGGGGGAGGCGCCCCAGCTGCAGGCAACAGGACGAAAAGGGCTCCGTGGACATCCATCAGGCACCGTGAAACGGCTCCTCTGGAGTGAGAAGAGTCTGTGGCAGGAGGGCCGGGCTGGCGGCACGAGGCACTGCCCAGAGGAGGGGCAGGTGCGGCAGCTCCCCCTGCACAGGGGTCTGGACGGGCTGCCTCCAAAGCAGGACTGGGGCGTTAGCGCCGCAAAGGGGAACTGCCCGTATCTGCAGCAAGGAAATGTGGGGTCTTTGGGAAAGACACTGACTCAAGACACTGACAGAGCCTCTGCTTGATGAACAAACTGCTCTCAAGGGGAGCGGGGTGACCAGCCGGGCAGGCCAGGGCCGCAGGGCCCCTTCTGCAGCCGCCCACGGCACAAGCAGGATGAGCAGCCCTGGGCCTCCACAGGAGGGGGCGCCCTGGGCTGTCCCCAGCCTCCTCTCGTGGAAGGGCTGAAACAGCCTTCCCAGCAGGGGCCGTTCCCCCTCCCGGGGGTCTGCCTCACAAAGCCACCCTGTGGCTCTCTCTGACCCGAACTCGCAGCCTGCCACTCTGCGCCCGGCTCCCACCAGCCAGGGGGCGCCCGCTGAACCGCGCCTGCTGCTACGGGCCGGCTGCTCCCTGGAGTGCAGTGGAGATCACAGAAGCAGGGCAGGGTCTGCTTCAGCACCGCCAGCCGGCTGCTTGCTCCTCCCGAACTCGATCACAAGAGGTTTCCCCATCAGGAGGAACCCGTTTGCCAGTTCCAGGGCCGCCCGAGCCGTTGCGATACCTGGAAGCAAGCAGAGAAGGGGCCTCAGCCCGGGGCTTGGCCGCGGGAGGGCAGGGCGAAGGAGCCCGGGAGACACGCCTGGGCCCTTCACACTCCAGCCCTGCCCGCAGCAGGAGCGGCCAGTGGGGCCAGGGCTTGGCCATCGGGGACCCTCGGGTGGCCACTCACTGGGGAACGTCAGGAAGGCTTGGCCCCGCATGCGCCCACTCAGCAAGCGGAAGCGGATCTGCGGGCCACCGCACTCCTGGAACCTGGCAAACAAGGAGAGCAGGTCTCGCACCGTCACGTGGCAGCTGAGGTTCTTCAGGTACAGCACCTAACGCACACCAGAGAACACAACGGTCGCCAGGGCCCTCCGTGGGAAGTTGCACCACCAGCCCACTCCCTGACGGTCTGTGCCCCGCAGCCCTCTGTGGCCTCCCCGAGCCGGGTGGCAACAGAGAGAGACGTGGGAAGGAGAGGCCTCACTCTGCCCAAGAGGAGCAGACCTGGTCACCTGGGCTTGGAGGGCCGGCCCATGGCCGCCCAACCCAGGACAGCAGCAGCCCCTCGGCCTTGCGGCGGCGAGTCACCCCACCCGGCACCTCCTTGCAAGCCCCACCGAGAGGAAGGAACGGTCACGCTGGTCTTGCTGCCCTGGAGGCACGTGCAGCAACGGCTCCCAGGGGACTGCAGCCCTTGGGAACCCCCCCAGCCGCTTATCCGCACGCACGCGCCCCGCTCGCGGGACTCCTCCCAGCGGGGTGGCTGCGCCTGCCGCACAGCGCATGAGGTGCAGCAGAAAGGCAGCTCCACGGGCCTGGAGGAAGCCGGCCCACCTCGCGCATCAGCACTCCCAAGACAGTCCAAGAGAGGCGAGGGAGTCACCTGACTTGGCTCTCCGGGGCTGTAGGAGGAAAACCTGGGGATCCTGCGGATTTCCTCCTCCGAGAGGCGGTTCTTGCAGATCTCCTCTTCTGGGACAAATTCCACAGGCTCTGTCACCATCACAGGCCCCAAGGCGGGCGGCTGGGCTGGGTTCTGAGCTGCCGGCGAGCTGCTCCCGCCCCCCCGGGTGGAGGGGCAAAAGCCATGGTCGTGTGGATGGCGGGACTCCGGCATCTCTTGGCTCAGCAGGTCTTGGTACACAGTCTCCAGCTGAGCCACTGGGCCCGTCTCGTGGGCAGTGCTCAGCCTGGTCTCATCTGGGTCACAAAGGAAGCAGAGGGCCCCACTGCAGGTAAGGCGGACCACGCACAAGCCTCCCTTAGCGTCCTCTGGGCCCTGCAGACAATCCCAGGACAACCCTAGGACTCAAGCAGGTCACCTACCCCGGTGATAAAGCATCCTGAGGAAGGAGTGGCGATCTGTGCCCTGGAAGAGTGCATTCTCTATCTCCATTTCACGACGGCTCAGCTGCTTGCTGCCCGCAAAACGCTGCGGCAAGGCAAGGATGCGCTGGCGCTCGGCAATCTTCTCCCGTATGACCTGGATCCTGTCTTGAGTCGCTTCGGGGGCTGCGCCAAGGCCCGAGCTCTGGAGAGAAGCCATGGGAACAGGCCAGCTGCCCACCTGCTGCTGGCATACCCCAGCAAGAGGGGCTATAACCAGAAGCCGCACTCCCTCCCCTCCAGGTGTGCCCTCCAGCTGAAGTTGCACCTGATCAGTTCTTGCTAGAACAGGCACAGACAACACGGAGTCTCCCATAGCCCGGTTTGCTGCCCCCGCTACCTCCTGTTATTGTTCCCCACAGTGGCAGCAGCAAAATTTGTGCCCGGTTTTCAGAGGAGCACAATTGCCTGTGGCAGAGCTGTCTTTCCAGAAGCACAATCCTGCTTGCGAGGACTCCAGGCACCTCAGTCACCTCCAGCATTGTAGCTTCCCCTCGGCTTTCACGCCTCCAGTTCCCTGCATCTTTGGCAGTTACAGGAAGGGTTGGCTCCAGGCCCCCAGTGCCCAGAAATTGCCCACCCCGATCAGTGCCATCCCTCCTCCTCCTCCTTCTTGGGACTGAAGCACATACAATCACCACCATGGACTGGAAAAGCTCTGGGGCCACGTGAAGCTGCACCGCAACCATTTCTACTAAGCTGGCCCAGAGGACAAGCTTTGGGGCTGAGGGGCCCTTCCGGGGCTGCTTGGGCATGCTTCTAGTCCTTGGGCACCAAACTCCAGGTGGGGTCTTGCCCTGGACCAGGTTGTCCAAGCTTCAGGGCTGAGGCTCCAAAAACTGAACTGGAGGCGCCCACCTCACAGGACAGCCTGTAACAGTATTTCTGTGACCAGAATCCCTGCAAGTCCCCAGAATTTGGAGACAACACTCCCACAAGGCCCCCCATCCAGGTCAGCTCCACAGGAACCTTCCTGGTCTGCCATCTCCCCTACACTGCCCTCCATCTCCCCGGCAGCATTTGTTCTTCCAGGCACTTCACACAGCAAGCTCTGCCTGCAGCTGCAATTCACACAGCTCCCCCAGTCAGGCCCCCAGTGAGTTCGGTGGACCTGCCCGCTGGACCTGGCAGCCTCCCGCAGACTCACCTTCTCTGGCATGGCACGGCTCCTCCAGAGGTGGATCTCGGCGTCTGTGAGGCCCAGATCCCGGAGGGCAGCCATCTCCTTGCTGCTCTCCTGCAGCGCCTGGAACTGAGGCAAGCTGCGAGCACCAGCAGCCTCTTCCCCAAAGGGCTTGTACACGGTGGCAGGGGCAAAGCAGCGGCGCTTGGACACACATCTAAACGCAAGGCAAAGCGGCATCAGAACAGAGAACGGAAGCAAGGATCCGGGCAGGAGAACCTCAGCACACGAAGAGGCTCCTGTGCCGAACACCAGAGAGCCATCGCTGCCAGCCAGAGTCAGTCCTGGGCTGGGCAGACTGGGGCCGCCTCAGAGCAAAGCAGTCTCATCCCAGGTCACCAGAGATAGGTGCGAAGAATGCTTCCAGGTGGCTTTCACTGTAGGGACCCCCAAGATGGCTGAGCGCTGGCACGGTGCCTCGGAGCATTCCCAGCCTCTCAGCTTCAGCACCTCCCACTGCTTTACACAAGGGATCACGGAGCGCCAAGAAGGGAAGTGGGGCCGCCCCACCAGCCTAGCTGGAGCACCGTGCAATTTCCCTCTTCCAGCCCCCACGCTTCCTCCTTGCATGCCATGTCTCTTGGGATGCTAAGCCTAGCGGGGGCTGTAAGCGGCTTGGGGAGCCTCTCTGGCTGAAAGGCAAAACAGGAGGCGCAGTCACCAGCACTCACTGCTCAATGGAGACGGATGTGTCAAGCTGATGGTGCAGGAGGCTCTTGAGCTGCCTCTCCCCTTCGGTCTCCAGATCCTCCAGGAGCAGATCATCTGCGCTGAGGCTGCTGCTGACCCTGCAAAGAGCACAAGGGGGAAGGAGGCTGCAGCGGCAGAGCACCTGGAAATGGTCCCCAGGTCCTGGGGGACACCTGCTAGGGTGCTGGTGGGAGTCCTGGGATGCAGGAGAGCAAGGTGGTCTTTCAGCCTGAACCGGGGGGAGCTGCACCTCCTCAGGAATCAAGGCGACCTGTCCTTTTTACACCCACCTTGAAGCCCCCTCCCTGCAGTCTTAACTGCCACCTGTACCTGGAGTGGCTGGCCCACAGTGGCCCCCCAGCTGCGCCATACACTGAGCCCATCTGCCCTGCGACTTGAAAAGGAAATCCCTTCCGCGTCCTCTGGCACTCACGCCACGGCCCCTAAGGACGCAGTCCTATGCAAGTTTAGACATCAGGCCAGCACGAGGTGCCCGACATCCCCCCCGTAGCTGGCTAGGAGTGCCGTAGACCCGCCTGCCTGTCTGGCGTTGCCTGGACTGCTCCTTTGCTTTCGGGACATGCAGGCATTTCTGGGGCAAAAACGTGAGGCTGAAACATGCTTGGAACAGGCAGGGCCACACGCACGACGGCTGGGATGCCGCTGCAGGACGCGCCGGCCGGCCAGCCAGGTGTGCGCCCGGCGGGCCCCGGGAAGCGAGCTCTCGAGCGAGCCCCGCGAATCGCGGCGCCCGAGGCGGGCGGGGCGGAAGGCTCGGGCGGCGACCCGCGCGAGGCCGGCCTCCCCCGCAGCCGCCAGCCGCGCGGGCAGGGTCGCGACGGGCCAAGTGCGCCCGACTCCTCCCCGCGCGCGGCCTGGCCGCCACCGTGCCCAGGGGCTTCCGAAGCGATGCGGGGTCCGCGGTCCCTGACCGGCCCCGCTCCGGCGACTAGCGGGGCAACCTCGCCGCCGCGACCGACTCACCTTCTCATGGCCGTCGCTGCCGCCCCGCCAGACTACACTTCCCTGCACGCTCCGCGCGGCGGCAACGTAGCAGCGGGGTGCGCGAGGGCTGCCGGGAGATGTAGTGCCGGCAGAGGCCCGTGGGGTGCGCGAGGTCTGCTGGGAAGTGTAGTGCTGCACGAGGCCAGCGGCGGAAGCTTGTCCAGGAGCTGGAGGAGTAGCACTTGCGGAGCTCTGGCCCATCCGCGATGGGAGGCCGCAGCCCTTGAAAGCTGGGACTGCAGCAGGGGCACCCTTGTTCCCTCGCAGGGGGGAAAGATGCTCTGTGGTGTGGGCAAGAGCACCCTCCACCCTGCTGTTGCAGGAAGGTCAAGGAAAGGCAAATGCGCACACAGGCAGGGGCTTGTGAGGAATGGGGGAAACCGAAGACCCAATACCTTTTGTGGGAGGGAAGGTTAGGTAGGGGAGAGGCCTGCAAGGGGCCACTGCCACTGGGGCTGCTTAGGTAGAGCAGACACGCAGCTGTCCCATCTCCCAGTGTCTGACGAACCAATTGGGCCAAACCACTTAAACACCAAAAGCAGGACTGCCTGCCTCAAGAGATGAGGGAGCCATGGCGCCCAGGAGAGGGCACAGCCCTGCCTGAACACGAACTCTGCAACACAGCTCTGGACGGGATTGCAAAAAACACTCAGCCCTTTATTTTACTATGTAAAAGGAGGCAATGTGTTACAACTGTTGCCATATATTTGCACATCAACATGTTTATTTTTAGAATTGAGGTGTGGTTAACTTCAGGTGGTCAGCCTTAGTCAAAAGTAATCCGGAAGCTGCGCTCTTGTTCTTTGCGCCGGCTTTCACAAACTTTGGTCACTTCCTCGACCTTCCTCTGCAGCAGAGCTAAAGGCAAAACCCAAGGACAGCGTCAAAGACACAGGCCTGATGAGCCCAGCGACACACAGCTCTGGCGCGAGGAGAGCTTGCCAGGAGATGCTGCCTTGCTTCCGACCCTCGCTGCAGCGCAACAGACGCGCACCATCCTCCATCCGCAGAAGCCTCCCGCAGCCCAACGCCCACACAAGGCGGGCTGCTGCTTTACCCACTGCTTCCCCACTGACTGCAGGGCCATCAAGGCTGATTGGGCTGGCCCCAGGGTCGCGTTTTCTTCAAGCCGCCCCCTCCAAATTGCTGGAAGCAACACACAGGAACAACGCGCAGTGACTAATACCTGAATTCTGATCAATCCACTGGAGGGAGTCCATGTGTGCATTCAGAATTTTGCAGATCTGCTGAAGCTGTGTGCAAAGGGGAAAGGGTCTCATGAGTCCCCAGCACTGGCAACTGCTCCACACTGTTGTTGCTGCCTTCAAGCCTCAGGAGGCGCCTCCAGTACAGTGCAGTGCTGCTCCCAGACCCCTTGCACTGCACTCTAAAATTCATGCTCGCTCGCTCGCTCGCTCGCTCTCTCTCTATTTAGCCGACTTATATGCCACCCCATTCGCCTAAGCCTCGGGGCGGCGTAGGGTTAGGGTCAGGAAAAGCTCACACCTGGATGTACGGAATGCACACGGTGATGTGGCAGCAAGAAACTGGCCAGGAGCCAACTGCTTCGGGGTGTACCAGGTCAGGGCTCTCTGAAGAAGCAGTCGAACTACTCCCAGCACCACGAACAACAGGAGAGCACGTGAAGTACCAGGTAGCTGGAGTGTGGAACTAGTCTGGGCAGGCTTGGCACAGTACTCCCTCTCCTCCTCAAAGCCACTGAAGGCACAGTGGCCCTTCCTGACTCAAGGGCCAGCTGAGATGGGCATGGGAGGCAATCAAGTGGTGGAAGGGGAGGGAGGTGCCCGGCAGGCCAGGTCAACGAGCACCGCAGGCCAGGTCAACGAGCACCGCAACCTCCTCGCCCCTTCGGGAACATGTGGAAACCAAGCATGGAGCAAGCACAGTGCAGACAGGCACCTTCCTCGAGCTCCTGAGGTCGCCAGAACTGCCCGTGGCCACAGGCCCAGGCCGAAGGGTGGGGGTGTGGCTAGACCAGCAGCTGGAGCTGAGGTCCCCCCTTGCTTCCTGTGAGCAAAGCAGGCCGGCAATGCAGGGGCCGACTCCCGGGGCCAGGGAAGTCTTCCGTGACAGAACTGCTGGAGGAGGACACAGCGGCAAAGAGCTACCTCTCGGGAGAAAGGCGGGCGGGGGGAGGCCTGTTCGGAAGGAAAGTGCGACACAGCCCACAGGCTGGACTCACAGGGTCACTCGTGTCAGCAGGGCCACCAGATGTATTCAGGTGCTCGATGATATCTTTCAGGTCTTGGGCCATGCGCTTCAGCTGTGCATCAATGTTTTCAGCTAGCTTGTACCTGAGACACAGGATCAACAAGGCCCATGAATGCCAGCCAGGCCGGCCTGTCAGTCCTGCCTTCCAAGGACCCAAGCAAAGGGGAGCCGTGCAGCCCCACAAGGGCACCTTCCACCCTCTTCCACGGAGAGGGCAGAAAGTGGCTGGGCCTCTGAGCCGAGACACGGTCCAATTTGAAAAGAAAGGGAAGCATCGCAATACCCTGCCTGCATGAAGGACTGAGGAGGCCCACCTTTAGGAGGCATCACGCGTAGCTCAGACAGACCTGTGTATGTCAGAGCACCAAGGCCGAAGGGCCTACGGCAGCCCAAGCTCAGGTGCAATACCTGCCCCTCCCATATCCCAAAGCTGCCTTCCATCAGTCTCCGAAGTCTGCTTTCCCTTCAGAGCAGCACCATGAAGCAAGCCATGTTTCCCAGCCACCAGTACACGGCCCCAGACTTTGCTAAGGGTGGCAGCCCGCCCGGGCAAGAAGAACGCCCTTCCTCCATCTTTGTCACCAGGCCTGGCCTGTTCAATCATCCGCTTACGTCTTCTCCCGCTCCTCATCAGCATGCTGCAAGTAGATGGTGCCGCTCTGTTCCTTCACAGACTCCTCCAAAGGGACCAGCAGGTCTTCCAGCTCCTTTTGCTGGGACAAAATAAAATCCAGTTCTTGGTCTAGCCTGCAGGGAAAGGAGGGAGTCAAGCTGGGAAGGGCAGCCCTGGCACACCTGCCTCTCTGCCAGCCAGATGAAGCAGGCAGTTACATTTGGGGCTTCCCAGAAGAACTTCATGGCCTGCATCAAACAAGACCCATTCCACCCCACAGGATCACAAGAACGAAGATGCAGAACAAATTCAAGCCAGACAGAATTCCCCGGAAGTAGAAATCCCAGGAAGCCCAATTAGAATTCCCTGGAGGTTTATTTATTTATTATCGTGAGCCGCCCCGAGGCTTCAGCAAATGGGACGGCATAGAAGCTTCCTAAATAAATAAAAAATAAATAAATAAATAAAGGCTTTGCATCACATCCAGGGCACATGGTTCACGGGGGCTCAAACCCTCATACAACTAAAGGGAGCTCTGGAGCCGACAGCGGAAACAAAAGGCCACTCGGTGCTCTGTCGGCTTTCCAAGGCCAAGTCTGAGCACTGTGCACGTCTTGCTACAGAAAGAGCAGCCAGCTCGCCTTCCCCACTCCAGCACACCAGGCACGAACCACTGAGTGCTCCAGAGATGGAGGGCAGCGCTTCAGTGATGCTCAACTGGCCACTGCACCCGCCGGGCATCTCACTCCAGGCCTCACCCTAAAGCAGCTGCCTGACGGCAGTTGCAGCCTTGGCCGAGGCCGGCTCCTTGGCACAGCCAGCCCTACTTCAGAGAGGCTGTTTCAGCCAGAGCACACAGAGACCCCAGCCAGGCTGGTCAAGCTGAGTCCACCACCCCACCAAGCAGGAGCTGATGCTTCCCGAGGGCAACCCTGGAGAAATCAGGCTCATGTGGGATCAACAGGTCCCAGCCCATGCATCGGAGTGCTATTTTGTCCTGGCCAGTCTCTTTCGGGAAGAGAATTTTTCATGAACAGAGAATTTAGGAGCTGGGGATGGGAAGGTGCCTTTTAATGTCACAGCCTTGGGGGGAAATTGGTCAAGAGCAGCCTACCAGCAGAGGGCCACATCCCTCCCTCCTTCCCACCGCCACTCGCACGCACGCGTGTACACAGGCTTCCCTGTGCCCCGCTCCACGCCTTGCCGCTCAGCAGGACAAGAGGGGCACGAACTGCGAGACACAGGTAGGCAGCAAGGCCACCCATCCACCAAAGGCACGGGCCGTCCCCCTTACCTCTTCTGATCCAACTTCACTTTCTCCACTTCTCGATGCAGAGATGTGATCTGCAAGACAGAGGCAGGGCCATCTCCTCACTGCCAGCGTAAGGGAAAAGGCAGCGTGATCCAGGCAGGTCCCAGCAACAAAAGGGGCCCAGGGAGAAGCAGCAGAAGCAGGGGCTGGGTGTCTTGTAACGGCACAATGCGGCACCTGCTTTTTGACTTGCTGTCAACGCACGTGACCGGAGCACTGACCCCACACAGGCCTGGGTGCAGCTGAGAAACCCGCAAGCTTTGATCCTCACAAGCCATGGTCGCTGCCACTCGGCCCCCAGGACAGGCAGCCCTGCCCCTCGGTCTTCACGGCATACCTTCTCCCCATTCTCGATCAGAGTCCTGTCCCAAGCGTTGACCTGGGTGGCCTGCTGCAGGAAATGCTTCTCCTGGTCCTCCAGCTCCAAGCTCCACTTGTTAATGAGGCTCTCCAGCTGGGCATAGGTCATCACCGGTGGGGCCCTTTAACACAGAGGGGAAGAGGGGGCTGGGCAGGGCAGGGCAGGGCAGGGGTCGCAGCTCCGCCCCGCCATCACCGCCCTCGCCTGAAGAGGCACCTCCAGAGCACTGCTCCCCCTGGCTGCCCTGCACTGAACACGGAAGTTCACGTCACACACAGATACAAAGAACATACGCGACGGTGCTAGTTGGCACCGTGGATGTGGCAGCCACAGTGCCAGTCGTGGTCAGGGGCTTCAGGCTCAGCATGAATCCCGCACTGGGTGCTGCAGCAACACCTGGAAAGAGAAGACTCTTTGCTGAGGAGCTAGACTGGAAGGCCAACAGCAGCTGGGATGTACGGGGTCCCCCCCAGCCTGCAGACCGGCTACAAGCAGGAATGCCTCAGCATGCGCGCCCAGGGGGTCTCCCAGCTGGCAGGTAGTGGGCCAAGACGACTGCTGGAGCCCGCTCTGCCGCTCAGGCCCGGGGCGGGGGCATTTTGTTTCACCTGCACTACTGTCCATTCATTTCTGGCCACATGCAAAGCACGCTTTTTTCTTAATGAGCCCAAGTGGGTTGGGATTAGGATAGTTCAACTCCCAGCTCCTCCCCATCCCACCTCTTCCCCATGGAAGGCCCTGCTGTTCATCTCACCAAACCATATCTGTTGGGGTGGAGGCATCCAGGTTGTGAGAATTTCCCTGAAGCATTTTGCCTGACATGTTGCCCTTTAAGCTTTAAGGCAAGTGGCTTAGCACATTTTATTTCAGGATAATAAAAAATTTATAACACCGTTTTTAAAAATATTTTATCCAGTATTGTTTTAGTTTCATTCTGCTTTTATTGTATCAAATTGATTTTAGTAACTAGAACATTTTACTATATTTTACATATGCCCTGAACTTTCTTATACACTCTTTTAAGTTGGATTTCTAACAGAAAGCTGTGCTCCAGCTTTCAAAACCTGGAAGCCCTGACACAAGTCTACCCGGAGCACCCCCACCCACGAGGGCTGGTCACTCCAAGAGGCTACTTCCCTCCTACGCCCCAGGTTGCCTTCTGATCCTTACTGGTCGTAGGCGCAGCGGCTGCTGTCGTCGTTCCAGGGGCTTTGGAGCCAAACCCCAGCGTGGCGCTGGCAGGGGCTGTCCCAGTCGAGGTGACACCAACTGCAGGGAAGAGTAAGTGCCAGCAGCCCCTAAGCAGTATGGCTAGCTCTGGCCAGCAGAGGCATCAAAAGCAGGCCCTGTTAAAGTTCTGGGCCACAAGCCTAAAAAAGGTTCCAAATTTTTTGGGGCAAATTCAGGCAAAGCATGCAAAATCCTGAGCTGAGGTGGAAAGATTGCCAGAGTAATCCAGCAGGAGGCAGAATCGCCCACCCCCACCTCCCATCCTCCTGCCCTCCCAAATCCCCAGAGGAAAGGCTTTCAGGGAGCCGCACCCACCGGCTGCAGCCCCCACCCCCTTACGCGAGAGGCCACCAGCACTGGAGGAAGCTGGTGCTGAGGAGCTTGCAATGGAGGCAAAGAGCGTAGGCCCAGGCAAGCCAAGGAGGGTATTTGTGGTTGTGGTGGCAGGTGCAGTAGAGCTGGCAGCTGTACCTGTGAAGGGGAGAGACACATGTATGGGGGCTCAGGAAGCTCCCAGGAAAAGCACAAGCTGAACCCCCTCTGACACTTTCTGCATGCACCTTGCCGGAAGTTAAGGCAGGCAAGCAGTGGCTTTCTCGGTAGCAGCTGCCTTCTGGCTCCTGTTCGTGCATGGCTTCGCACACAAAAAAGCACAAGCCTCCTTCAACTGAAATACCCAAGCGCACATTTCTGCCATTGAGCCAAGACAGCTGGAAACCCTGCAGCATCCCCTCTTCCAACCTAAGGAAGAAAGCTACTCCTGCACAGCTATTCCAATCTAGAACATCCCAGATGAAAGTACAAGGAGAGAGTTTGCTTCAAAAAGGAACTGGGATACAAGTTAAGTAGCAGCAGAAAATCCCAAGCAAGAAGGAAAAAGGATAGGTCAGGACTGTCCAGAGCAGCACTTGCAGAAAAAATTATTCAAGGAACTGATGGTGAGATAGAAACAGCAACTCAAGCTATGGGGATTTGATAGATGAGAAGCAGAACATGGGACCATAAAGATGAGCAAGAACAGAGAGCAGAGAGGCTCACATGTGAGGATTAGTTTCTTGGGATTGATGGCAACTGATGGAAAAGGCCAGTCACTTTAATGCTACTTAAGAAGAAGGCTGGCAGGGACTAAAGGGATCCCAGCATGGATGCCTGCTCCCCTCCCCCATTAGAAAGCCCTACTCTTTTCTGACCAACTCACCTCCAAGTTTAGTTCCAAAGGACAAGGCAGGCCCCTGGTTTTGTGTTCCTGTAGGGGCTGAGTTAGCAGCAGATGAAGCCAACAAGCTAAAGCCAGTACCTGAAAAAAGAATCAGGGACAGTAAGAGAAACAGCCCACTACCAGCGGTTGACTCCCTTTCTAATCCGTCTGCACGCAATCAGGGCCACAACCCCTGGCCCCTATGTAGTTGCTGCACTCTGAGGCAACGGAGCCCCTGCCTGCATGGTACAACCTGCCCCTCTGCACTAGTTTCCCCCTAGTTTGAAGATGGCCCAATCCTATTGCATCAGGATAGCCACAAAAAGGGGGATGCCATCATGTGGGAAGCTGACTGCAGTCGGGGATTAAAAGTGGAAGTGAGGAGCACACTTGCTCCCGCGCTTGCGTGCTCCTTTAGGACAGTGTCACTCGACTCGACATCATTTCTGCATTATTGCTGACATGCCTGCATTCAGAGAACAGCCTCTCACCTGTGGGCTGGGTCCCAAGGCTGAACGCCGTAGCAGGCTGCGATGCGGCCGTGGTGCTTGTGGCGGTGCTGGCTGCCGCCGGAGCAATGCCGAATGTCAGCCCAGTGGATGCTGCTTGCTGAGTTGAGCTCCCCACGGAGGTGAGGCTAAAGCTGGGAGTTCCAATCTGGGCTGTTCCAAAGCTGAAGCCCCCTGTGGTGGCAGGCTGCGTGACAGTGGTGGGTCCAAACATAAAGCCTGAAGGAGCCGCTGGCTGGGTGGCAGGCACACTGCTCGGGACAGAGCTGCCCAGCCCACCGCTGTTTCCAAGCCCAAAGCCCCCTGTCATGCCAGGAGCTTGTGTTGTGCTGGTGCTACCCAAGTTCAACTTGGGGGCATTTCCCCTAAACAAAGAACAAGTGGGGGGTTCAGATTACCTTGCATGGAGTAGCAGCAGATGAAGCCCTTCTGTGTCCCAACCCAGCCATTAAGGCTTCCCCAGAAGGCCATGTGCCTCTTTCCACCATCCCCTCTCAATCACTGGGTGGTTTCCCATCTTTGCTACATCAGCCCCCTCATCCTGCTGAAATCTAAAAGATTTGAAATACATCTCCTAGTTTTGTCTCCTACAATTTGCCCTGCTCTCTTTAACCTTTGGCCCTGCACATGACAGGAATGCAACAGCCTCGCTGAAATGCAATGCGGCCCTTTATCTGAAAGACACTCTGCACTCCTGAGGCAGTTCCCATGGCAAAGAATCCGGAATTTAACAAACGGAAGGAAAATTAATGTAATATTGCAGCAAAAGTGATTCTTATGTATATCTCACTGCAACACATCCAGCCCTCCTATGTCCTTACCCCAGTGTGAAGACATTTCCAGCAGGAGCTGCTGCAGATGTGGCAGGTGTGCTGGGTGTACCAAAGCTGAACCCAGCTGCTGAGGTCTGTGCTGCTGTTGTTGGAGTAGCAAAAGAGAACAGGCCTGTAGACTGGCTGCTTGTAGGATTTTGAGCAGGTGTCCCAAAACTGAAGCTTCCTCCTGTTCCTCCTCCCGAAGTGGCTGAAGTGAATGAGAACCCTGTGGGGGCTGTACTAGCTGCTGCCTTTGGGGTCCCAAAGCTGAAGCCTCCTCCAGCAGCACTACCTGTGCCACCAAAATTGAACTGACTCATGGTGCCTTCTGCTCCTGCAGAAAAGCAAAAGGAAAAACAAAAAGCCAAAGGACCACACTGTTACTTCCACAAGCACGGCATCTTCGCAGTACCTGGGAAACAACCAATCCTCAGTATGCTCAAATGCAACATCACCCTTGTGGCGTTGCTCTGAGACTACCGTGGTGATACCCTGTGAAGCTGCCAGTGATAACACTGCAGAGCTGGAAGCAGCTGATAAAGCTATCGGATCCAACCCGCTGCTCAATGCAAGATTCCAAGTCAAAGACTCCCTAACAGACTGCTGTCCAGCTGCAGCATGAACACCCTTTGGAGATGGTCGTGTCAGCAAGCTCACGACCTCCTAAGTCACTGGTTCCAGTAATAGGTTGACGTTCTGGAGGCCACAGAGGGCGCAAAGGAACCTGCCAGCGCGCGGCGTGTGCGAAGGCAAGAGCTCCCCCGTGAAGGACCGACACGAGGGGACCAGCTACAGGTGGCAGACGCGGCAGTCCTGGGGGTCTCGCCCCGTCCAGGCGCCACAGCCAGCCCCTCCGCCTCCGGAAGTCGCGCTGAACGGCCCGGCGCCCCACGCAACGAGCACCACGAGGCTGGGTACAGGTGGCCGCTCGCCCGGGAAAGTCGTCCTCCCCGCGCGGCGCTCCGGGCGGAGCCCCCGGGAGGCAGCAGCGCGGGGCCCCTTCTTGCGAGGCCGGCCGGAGCGGCGCGGAGGGCTACGCCGGAGCCCGGGGTGGGGCGCGCTTCGCGGCAGAGGACGCCGAAGCTTCGTGGGGCTCCGCAGCCGGGCGCGGAAGGGGCCAGGCCCAGAGGGCGCCCCCTCGACAGCCCCGCGGGTCCCCGGAGCGCGAGAGCGGACACCTCACCTCCCCTCGCCGCCGCCGCCGCGCACCGTATGACGCCGCCGCGCGCGACAACGCCACGGACGCCGGCGGCGCGCGGCAGTCGCAAAAGCGGCCTCCGCCAATCAGCTCGCGCTTCTGCCACGGCGCTCGGGCGGGCGGCGCGAGCTCGGCGGTTGTCGTGGCGACGCAGGGGACGCTACTCCGGGCAGCATGGCGTCCGCGAGCTTCGAGCCCGGCCTGGCGACCTCTTTGCTGGCCGATTTGCTTCGCACGCCGCCGGCAGAGGAAGGCGGCGGCGACGACGACGGCGTGGATGATGTAGGCCTCGGGATCAGCCCGCTCCGTTCCCGCTGCGGCGCGGCTGCTGCCCCGTTGCCCCGCCATGCGCTCTCCCGTCCTCCGCAGCCCTTGCGAAGGGCGCCCGTGCGGCGCCGAGCCCTTAGACCGAGCGTGCAGGGAACTGCTGCTGCCTCCAGCGTGGGCCATCGCGGGCTACCGGGAGCCTTCCCCGCCACCCTCTGCCCCCAGGCCTCTGCTTGTGCCCGTGGGTCTTCCTGGGCAAGGAGCAGTGAACGGTTCTGCCTGCCCCGTTACCTTCAGCTTCCCCTCTCAAAATGCCCTGGCGCACCGCAGCAGAGTGCTGCCAAATCCCTCCCCCCCCGCCCCCCCAGCATGCTCCACAGCCTGTAGCAAAGCATCTCATTCAGATTGCAGTTTCCCTACCGCTGACAGCACCGGAAGCAGAGCAACAATGCACAAATGTTGGTCTCTGCTTTGCAGGGAACAAGTGTTCCTTTAGTGCAGGCGAACACATCACACAAGCCAGGGTAGGACTGTGTGTGCTTTTTCTGCAGATGCCATCTTCTTCAGTGAACAACATGGGGCCAGGGAGCATTGGACCCCCAAAGGCAGCAGTGCAGAAGGGTAAGTCAGACTGCCTCACACTGCAGTCCCAGCCCACCTCTCTCAGCAAACAATAATTAAACCATGCTGGACCCACTTGGAGATGGACAGTGATGCCACCAGCAGCTGAGCCATCCAGAGACTCAGTGTGATTGGATGGCCTAAAAATACCCCAGATAAATAAATAAATAAATACTGCCATCCTGTACTCACCCATGAAACAGGAGAGGAGAGAAGTCCTCTGCAAGCACAGTTGTCCTCAACCTGGCCTGGATGGCAACAGATGAACACCTAATCCTATATAGAGCAGCCCAGGGGCTGTAGGAGGAGCCTTGTATTGGAGAAAACAGCCCACAGGCTAACCTCAGGTGGTTACAGTGTCATACCAAAGAAGATGGAGAGGGAGTTCACATTGGGTATCCCTGAGCCAGTCTGAGCAAGCCCTGCACAGACAAAGAGCCTAGACTCTAGCCTTCTGGAACCCTTCTCCCCTTGGCAACCCATGGGACCAAACCCCAGCTTTGCCGGCTCAAGCAGCCCAGCACACCTCCCTCTGCTGACGGACCACCTGAAGTGTTGTGGTGGCAGCGTTCATCCTGGAAGGCTAGCCTGCTCCTGCAGTTCAGGGAACCGGAGTGAACGAAAGAGGAGACACTATTGGCACCAGGCTGTCCAGCCTCATGGAGTCCCATCCTGAGGCCAGCTGAAGTCCAGTCATACAGACCCAATGGATCCAGATGCTCCAGGAGAGCTCCCAGGCATCAGGCAGTGGTTAAGTGCAGGGTCCCTGATGGCCCCAGCTGCCATATTACACATATCTTCCTTTGTTGCATAATGGCCAGGTGGTCGCAGGTAACGTATGCCGCAGGGAAACCGTTGAGAGTGCTGTTGGTGCAAAACAAGGGGGAGATGGCACCAAGGCACTAAGGAGAGCAGCCAAAGGAAAGCAAGGGCAGAAACAGGCAGAAAGCAGTGAGCAATAATCAGCAGCTGGAGCCCATCATCCCCGAATCTGCTGGCAGAGAAGGGGTTTCGGAAGAGCTAGTAGGAGAGGGAGCAGTGCCACGTGACTGCTCAGGCTTTGGCTGCAAGGAGACACAGATTGCAGTGCCTGTGATCATAGCCACTCCCCTTTGGAGAAAAGAGATTATGGGAGTTTAGTCCCACAGACCTGCAGGCTACTGGCTTGGATGGGGGAACTGTGTCTTCGGTCTCCTCCTCACAGGCCGTGATCCTTCAGAGCGAACATCATGCCGAGGAGCGTTTGGTCAGAAGGGGCAATGGTTTCCATGGGGTCCCTGGCCTTTTTCCATACAGAATGGATTTGCATGCAGGAAGGGGGGCTTCCCCTGGGTGGGGGACTCTCTTTCCAGCTGTGAAAGGATTTGTGAAAGTTGCAGAAAGAGGTGATGCTCATTGTTCTCCAAGTCTCAAGCTGCCAAACTGCACTGAGATTCAGTTCTAAGGGGCACATCGAAGAAATGCTGGAGAAGGAACAGCTTCAGTTGGACAGGATGGCTAGAAACCAGACTGGAGAATGAAATGCAGTGGTAGCAAGTAGGTGCAGAGCATTTGCTCAAGGCAAATGGGAAGTGAGAAATGAATGGGTAGTGGGGGCTGGGAGGGAGGATTTCTGATTAGCGGAGGATGGAGCCTGCTTAAAACCTGCAAAGAAAGCCACCTGCTTCAGGGAGTCCTCTTAAGAGTACGTTGCATGGTGCAGAAATGCCAGTCCGTTGTGATGTTCCCCAGGAACCACCTTTAGAAAAAGTGAAGAAGGTGGCCTCAAGGGAAAGGCCTTCTTGACTGTGGAGTCCCAACTATGGAACCAGCTCCCCAGGGCAGTATGCCTGGTGCTGACTTTAATAACGTTTTGGCTCCAAGTTAAAACCCTTTTATTCTCCTGTTATTTTAACTGCTGAATATGATAATTTGATTTATATTGGTTTTTATGTATATTATCATTTGTACATAGAAACAGAGCGAGTCAGAAGGGGCCTCCCAGGCCATCTAGTCCAACCCCCTGCTCCAGCTGGCTCCGCTCACAACATGCCCACCATGTGCATGTCCAGCCTATCCTTGAACACCCTCACCAGTGGGGCCTCACCCACCTCCCGTGGAAGCCCATTCCACACCCTCGGGGTCCTGACTGCCAGGAAGTGCTTCCTGGCATCCAAATGGAGCCTTGGCTCCCTGAGCTTGGCTCCATTGGAGCGCATCCTGCCTTCCTCTGCAGGGGAGAACAGGTCTTTACCCACCTCCATGTGACACCCCCTCACATACCTGTATGTCCCCAACATATCCCCTCGGAGACTCCTCCAGGCTGAAGAGGCCCAGTTCCCTCAGTCTCGCTTCATATGGCATCCCCTACAAACCGGCCACCAACCTTGTGGCCCTACGCTGCACTGACTCTAACCTGGCTATATCCTTCCTGTAATGAGGGGCCCAAAACTGAGCACAATACTCCAGTTGCGAGCGCACCAGAGTCGTGTAGAGTGGTAGTAATACCTCTCTCGATCTAGAAGCCACACTTCTGGCTATGCAACCAAGGGTGGCGTTCGCCCTCTTGACCACCGCATCACACTGCTGACCCATGTTCAGCCTGCAGTCAACCAGCACTCCAACTACATGTGGATTAGTTGTTAAATTATTGTTATGTATTATTTATAATAATTGTTTATGCTGTTTGAATTTTGTTGGTTGTGTAGATGTTCTATTGACATCAAGTTATTTGTTGATATTTATATTGTTTTATATGATTTTATTGTACACCATTCTGAGAGCTCCTTTGCTAGTGAACAGTCTATTAGAGCTTAAATAAAATAAAATAAATATTTCTTATAGCTAGTTTCTGACACATTACTTGGCTTCTATAGGTTCATTCTTACAGAGCCTTGCTGCTTTAGGGACCCTGCAGTTTAGTTGCTCCGCAGTGCCTTCATGGCTGCGTCGTGGGTTGGGGCAGCCCACTGCTCTGCAAGAATCAGCACGTCATTCCCTGGTGCCAGTCATGGATCAGATTGCTGTGCACTCTGCAAAGGCAGGTAAACAGTGTGATTTCCTTCCTTCCAGCTGCCATGCAGGTGAAATCTGGAGACCACAAGGACATCTGGTGCATGGAGGAGGTGGCAGAGGGCTCGGAGTACGAGGATGCCTGGGACACCAGGGAGCAGCCTGAGTGAGCACTTGCAAGCTGTGCACCGTGGCGGGAGCGTCTGGCGACCCAACAGAGCACTTTCCCACTGACCTCCCGCACAGCTTCCTCAGAGCAGGGCTCTGTGCTTGCGCTCTGGTGGCTGGCGCTGTGACAGATTTGGGGCATGATGACCAACAAGCGAGACCCACAACGAGCAATGTTGCACATCAGCTTGGGTTGGACAGAGTCAGGAGGGACACCTGAATAAAGCCCTTTTCGGCAATGGGTTTGCCACAGGCCCACATGATCCACAGACTGCCCCAGAAACACTTCAGGTGTTGATTTTGTTTTTCAGTTACAGTCTTACAGGAGTAAGTTTTCCAGCCATCCTTGGTCAAATTTTATTACCCTCTTGACACTTGTTGAGGAAAAGCAAGTGTCAAGAGTGACTCAGTGGCCAAAGTCTTCTGGCACAGAGAGATCTTTGCACTGGTTTCCCAAGCTAAATCAGGGAAGTTTTCCCAACAGAAGGCCAAGAGCTTGAGGAGCAGCTATGGAGAAGCCGACGGGCAGGCCTCCTGCAGGCAGCTGGGGAGACCGCGGGAGTCCTGTGCTCGGAGGTCTACCAAACCTGTAGACAAAAGTTCTGGTTTCCGCACAGCACTTTCAGTGATTCGGGGATATAACTCAATTAGTTTTGCTCAATTTTGTAGGCATATTACAACCATCAGTCCTGTTTTTTCTCTTTGTAACAATCAGCAGAAAGAGAACAGGCAGTTCCAAAACTTGCTGTATTCTGAATTAGGCAAACTGGCTTAGAGGGGAAGGAAAAATCAATGGGAGCCAAGCAGAGCATAATTGGTGAGAAAAACTCATGGCACCCAGGCTCCTAGAAGGCATTGTTACGCCTCAGGAGGGGGTGGAGGAGAGGCGCACGGCTAGCAGCCGCTTGCTGAGTAACTGCTGGGCAGCCTCCTGGCAGAGAGCCCCCCTGCAGGAGGGCAGCCCCAGCCCTGCCTTCCTGCACCAGCAGTCTGGCATTCCAGCAGCTTGGAGCTACTGGAGGCAGTGGAGTCTCTGCCTGAAGAGCATGGAGGCTGCCCAGCCACAGACAGTGGCTAAAAGGAAGTGGTTCTCTGAGCTGCCTCCAGTTTGCTCTCTCCTGTTCTCTCGCTCAGGTACGAAATCCTGTTCAGACAGCAAGTAGGAACTGAGGATATGTTCCTGGGGATGACCAGGAAGGACCCTTCCACTGCCTGCTGTGAGGACATGCTGGTAAGAAATAGGTGCTCATGTTCTCTGTTCTCTCTGGGCTGCCAGCTCCTCTCCCCTTTGGGCCGCTTCCTAGTGGGAGCCACATGGCCTGACCATTCACCTCCACAGATTTCTCATGGACATCTGGTCCCACTGCCCTTTTCAAGGATGTGGGATGTTGCAAACATCCCTGCTTCACCCCCACCACAGCCTCTGATGCGGTTTTGTATCTCTTGGACTGGTGTGTGTAGAAGCGGGGAGCAAACAGCCAGTGTGTCCCTTCTGGGCCCAGAGTTGAATGGGGGTGAAGACAGGTGCTTCCTTCTTGGCCAAGGCTGCTCCTGTCCTTTGCCAGATGCCACGCCCTACAGTGACTCCAGAACATCCCAATTTGGCATGGTGCTATGGGGGTGGATAACAGAGGGCCAGTTCTTACCGTTCCTCCAAAGGAAGGCCAGAACCCACTGTGGGATCCTATAGCATTAGCCTAGGTCATTTCATGTTCTGATATCAAAAGCATCTCTCCAGAATTCCTGTAAGCCACCCCAATTCACCGTGACAGCTTTTCTAATGGGCCGTCTTTGTTTTTCATTTCAGATTAAAATCAAACTCCCCGACACAAAAGTTTCAGATGTTACTCTTGATGTTCAGGAAAAGGTTCTTGATCTTCGAAGCCCCCAGAAGTAAGTTTAGGGTGGGATGCGCCATTTTCCTCCTCCTCCAGCTGTTCCTTGTTTGTGCAAAATCTTCTACATGTAGAAGGTTCCCCCTTAATTAGGAAACCAAGCCAGGGCAGCAGGAGGCGAGTCCCCTGGGCAGCATGGCCAGCTTGGCAGCTGCTTGCATGTCCTGGGGTCCCACTTCAGGGCTCAGGCGGGAGCCTCCAAGCTTCTCTCACTTTTCTGGGAACTCTGTCCTGTGCTTCTCCCATCAGCACAGAGCCAGCTATGCTATCCTGGGGGGGGCCAGCGCAGCAGTGCAACCAGCATAGCCTCAGCCACACACCACCCTCTGAGTCCTCTCTGAAATTGTCCTTTTGGCAGGAAGCTCCTCTTGCACCTGCCCCATCCTGTGGACAGAAAGAATGGGAAGGCCAGTTTCCTTCCTGAAAAGGGCATCCTGGAAGTCACCTTGCGGATGAAGCGGGAGTTTGATTTCATCAATTTTGCCTGAAGAGGAATGGAGACCTCCCATCTGTCAAGAGGCTATGGAAACCCTGTTGAGGCTTACCAGTTCAGCAGCTGGTCAGGAGGGGTGCAGTCCTGCAGCAGTTTCCATGCAGGTCGCTGCAGTGCCTAGTGAATCATCCCCTGCTGAGCTGGGGGCACTCGGGGGGCTGGGCAGCTGCCCCTCCTCTCTGCTGGGCTCTGAGGTGGAACTCTGCCTTGCCAGCTCTCGGCCTCCTGAACGGTTTCCTTCAGCTCAGTAGCTGTGTCAGTGGGTCTTCACGCTCATCCTGCGTGTGTCAGCAGCAGCACGTGAGGGCGGGCGAGCGGGCACGCACCTCAGAACAGAGGCTGCAGGGAGGGAGGGAGGGAGGGAGGAGGGGGGAGGCTTGTGCACTGATCTGCTTGTTTCTAGGATTTGGTGTCTGTTCAACGGTAATTACACTGCTTTTGCCCTTCCCTTAAACTCCTTTTGAGCTGCTCACATACAAGCAGGGTGTTCCCTGTGATGCGTGCCCATCTCAAGATCACTAAACAGACCTGGCGGTATTCTCCAGCAAGCAGCGCGTCCTCACTGGAGCCATCACTCCCAGGTCCGGAGGTGAGAGCGGATGGCACGAGAGCTTTGGTGGGGCTGAGCCGGCTGTACCAGCGCAGGAACCGTGGTGCTCCTAGAAGGGCGGCATGCTTCCAGGCAAGGACAGGGAGCCCCAGGACCAGGCGGGAAGGAGAGGGCCAACTGGGGTTGGAGGTGCTCCCTGGCCAGCCCAGGGAAGATGTTCCAAGAGAGCCTTGCAGGAAATGCTCCCAGTCTTCTGGACTGGCTCTCCTGAAGGTGCTTCTCCCAAGATTGCAGCTGCAGCAGCGAGGAGCCTGCTGCCTCGGCATGTTCCGCGGAAGCTGCTGCCCAGCTGGCCCAGGCCGGTGCTGGCGGTCACTGGGGCAGCGGTGCTGGTTGCGGGGCGGCCGCGCAAGGGTCCACTCTGCGGGTGCACGAGAGCAAAAGCAGCAGGGAGGCAGCTGAGCGAGGGCTGAGGTTACCGTCATCCCACGCCGTCAGTACCTGTTTTCACGGCTTCAGTGTGTGTTGTGACCTTATTCCAGCCCTGCCCCCCTCACCCCCTTTGTGGAACACCTCCCGAACGCTGTGTGCAGCCTGCCATCTTGGAGAAGAGACCCCGCAGCAGACAGACGGGACAGCTGGTAGCCGTCCTGGTGGTGGCCGGGGAAGCGCGTCAGAGCTCGCAAACTGCTTCAGCCGAAGGTTTGGGAGTTGGCTGCTGGCTGCGTCACTTTTAACTCTTGGCTGGGCTGCCAGCCCATTCAAGGAAGCATGGAACTCACTTATCTCCATTAAGGGTAAGTGGTGCTGAGCACCACCATCCTTGCACTCAGCTCCGTGCTGGGACCAGAGGGAGAATTGCGTGGCCCCCACTTGGCCCCAGAGACTCCGCTCCCATTTGCATATCTCACCTCGCTCCATGCTGGCCCTTCGGTGGAGAGCCGGTCGCCTCAGGCCAGAGAGCTCCCTGCAGAGAGACCGCGTTGAGAGGACGCTGCGAGTTATAACCCCTGCGATGTGCTGCCATCACGTTGTGAAGTCCCCAGGAACAGAATGTGCAGAACTGGAATAATAAGCTGCTCTATCGGTCAGACAAGCTGCTTGGAAATGTTGCCCGCTGCCAGGTGCTCCAGGGCCTTCTTTGGGGCACACAGAAAATGCATGCTTGCCCAGGCGGAGTGTGTTCCCCTGCAGAGAAGAGGGGCTGTCAGTTGATTTGCAGAGTGCACAAGGCTTTGCCCAGCGAGAAGGCCAGGCTCCGGTTTCATCAAGGCCTTCAGAGTCAAAGTAGTAAAGTCACCCACGAGGAGAACAGCTTATGAAATTGACCAGACTTAGTATTTTTCTCAAGCTCATTTCAGAGGTTCCCACTGGCAGGAAACACTGCTGGTCAGGAAAGAGAGGGACTCTGTCCCCACAGGGGTCCCAGGGCAGTTCAGGTCGGGAGTAGGGCAGCACTCCGAGGAGGCTAATTGGCTGGCTAAGTTTGCATCTTTCATGGTTAAAAGCTCTGATTAAATCAAAGCAAGCCCTGAGAAATGCGGCCACTGAGGACTGGAAGTGATGGATTGAAACAGAGAGAAGTGCAAAATTAGTAGCGGCAAGAGAAGACTCGGAATTGGAGCAAAAAGAAGCCAAGATCAGCTTCGGCTGGTGAGAAAATGGAGCCGAGAGGGCCAATTAATGGCCCTTGCTGGGAAGCAGAGCACCCCGAGGGTCCCCTGAAGCTCCTACTGCTAGGTGGATTCACCCTGTCCACAAAAGAACCCCCCCACACACACACACAGCAGGCCAGCGGTGGGAGCAGGGAGGGGGACCGGGCATTCCCCCACATCCTCAGCCCCGGCTTTGCAGAGAACGGGGGCTTTCTGCAGCGGACACAGCAGTGTGTGCAGCTGGGGGAGAGGCTGCGTTTGGCCATCGTTTCTCCACGTGAACCCCCTCAGTGGCTTCTCCGTGAGCAGCCAGCATCTGCTTCTCCTCCCAGCTCCTTTACCATCTCTGCTCAGTGGGACGTTTGCCTGCACCCTGAACTTCCAGGAACATTCATGATTGCAGCGAAGCTGTCCCACCGAGTGGCATGTTCTGTGGTTCAGGTGCTAGGAAAACAGGGTGCCAGAATGGAATGCAGTGATTCCAGCACGATATTGTACCCGCCCCCCTTTCTTCACTCCCTGGAGCTCAGAACAGCTGACATGGGGCTGCCCGAGCTTTATCCTTCCAACATGTTTCTGGCATGGGGAAGGCTAAGAGAGACGCCAGCTCAAGAGCATCCAGAGAGTTTCCCAACGGAGCAGGTCTAGAACACCAAATGAGACCGCAGTCAACCAGCACAATGGCTCTTGGCTTTGTTTGGCTAGACGCTGACCCAGCTCAGGCCTCAGCTCTGTAGAAGCCAGGTGGGTGGTAGGGCCCCTTCTGCTTCCTGGCTCACTCTTTCCATCCCCATCACTTTCCCTCCTTGCCATAGTCTTTGTTTTTTCCTCACCCTCTTCTAGAGGTCTACACTGCCTGCTAAATTGCCTCACTTCACATCATTTCAGTATCGGAGCCCATTTCCGAAGCAGCTGACGAGGAAGATTCGGCAGCACACAAGTGTGCTGAGGAAGGCGCAGCTTTCATGTTCACCCTCAAGGCAAATGAAATTATTTTAAATGTGGAGCAGTGGGGCGGGAGCAGGGGAAGTCAGCCAGCCCTGGTGAGAGGTGGCTCTGCATATGCCTTCCCTGCAGACTGGAAGGGTTCCAGGCAGCAGTCTTTGGTTCAGATGAGCTTTGGTCCCTCTTAGAAAGGTGGAGCGCAGGAGGGGCCCCCTACCTGTGCTGCTTCACCTGGTTCCCCCTTCAAAAGCTGAGGAAATGCGAGGGCATGCAGGGGTCCCCCCTTCATTTCCTAACAGGGCAGCAGCAAAGGAAGGGGTGTCTTCCGGCAACCTCCCGTTGTAAAATGTATGAACCACCCTTTATTCACAAGGGATCAGCAGGCAGCCCACGCAGCATTATAGAGAGACAAGGGCCATGTCGCTGTCGGAAAACCAGAGTAAGAGGCAAAAAACCAGCCAGCCAGCAAAGAAACGGATCAATTAGAACAACAATTAAGATGCCTGTGCAAAAAGAGATCAAGGCTGGTGCCAATCGCATCTCCCGCGGGAAAGGCATCTCGGAGTGCGGGGCCAACACAGGGAGGGCCTGGCTGCACAGAGAATAAAATGCGGTGCAGGCGCGCTCTTTCACGTGCTTGCGTGCACCACAGCTAGTTGCTCTGGACAGGCAAAAGTAGCATGCGTGGGCAAGGGGGCGGGGGGGCTACATGGGTCCGTGCATGGACCAGAGATCAGTGCATTCTACCTGAGGTGACCTCCGGTGACGGGTGCCCCTAGGATCCCTCGCAGGGTGGCAAGGGAAGGGTCAGCAACAACTGCCAGGCCGTGCAAGGCTGTCCTGGACCTGTGGGTGGCTGTTCTTGGGGAGAAGCATCTTGGCGGCCGCCGCACGCCTCTGCAAGTGAGGGCGAAGCATCCCCAGGCCCGGGGTTTGCTCGCAGCGGTGGCTCCAGCGATTCCTCAGCCAGCCGGCCAGGGAGCAGCACAGGACGGACGGACGGACGGACTTTGGCTGCACGTCCAAAATGGCTCTGACGCCTGGCGTGCGTGGTGGCAGGACTAATGGCGTGATTCATTTCAGCTGCGGCCCCACACAACAGATGCCTTGGATAATGGCTCACTTGGCATGACAAATGGGCCTTTCGGGGTGATGCTAATGCTGACTCAGGAGAAGGTGCCAGGGTGGGGGTGGGACCGGCGCTGCCCTGGCGCTGCAGCCCGCCGTTGCCTGCCCCAGCGCACCTCAAGCACCGTGTGCTTTCGCTGGATGCTCCGGGCAACCCCTTCATCCCCACTGCCCAGCCAGATGCAGGCCCTCTGAGTGCCCACGGGGCTCAGAGAGAAAACACCCCTTCTGAGGAGTCTTGAACATTCAAGGCTCAGAGCCAGTGGCTGATGGTTGTAATATCTGAAAACGCTGTTCCCATGCAGTCACGTCGCCATTTCATCCTGAACCAGGCAGCAGCCACTTGCACCGGGGCCCAAGCAGAACCGCCCACTCAACCCGCTTTCACGGGCACCGGCGAGAGGCTGCAGCCACGGCTCTATGCACAGAAGAGCCCAAGGATCCAGAGCCAGCTGCAGAGCCGGAGAACGCGCACGGCTAGAACACCTGTGGGCGGGCCGGAGGCAGCCGGCCCGTCCGGCGCCCCTGCCAGCAGCACCAGGCCCACCTGGTGGTGCCTGCGCTGCTCGCAACGCAGGGGGAACTAGCAGACTTGCAGCAAGGGCGGCGCCCCCAGCCTAGCCCCCGCAGCCCCACACGTGGAGCCTCTGCCAGCCCCACGGCCCACCCAGCAGCAGGTCCCTGACGTGGCCTCGGGGAGGCAGGCAAGGAAGAGCCACTGCTGCCAGTCAGTGGAAGCAGCACTGGCTGGCTGGACCAGGTGCAGGTCTAACTCGGTACGAGGCAGCTTCACAGGCACCCCCATAGCCACTCCTGCTCCTCATAATCCGTTTTGGAGCACAACATGAAGGGGAGGAAGGGCAGGCCATACAACAGCTCAGCATCCATAATACTCCTGCAGGGTCTGCAGAAAGAGCACAAAGCCCCCGACAGCGATGCCCTTACCACTTCCAGGCCCCCATTTAATTGCAAGTGGGGCTTCAGTACAGGAAAATACCCCAAAGGGTCTGTTAAAAACCAGCAATTGAGTCATTGTAAGAAAT